ATATTTATTTTTGTCAATTCATCAAAAAATAAACTATCTTCCTTCAATTCCAGTGTATTTCTCTAATTTAATTTTTTTGAATCAAATCGGGCAAATTCTAAAAATAAATAAATAAAAATTATGATATACTCCTATTACTATAATAATGATTTCATTATATTTATTTTGTAGAGAATTTTCATTTTTTATTGCTTTGCATTAATACGTATACAAACATTTATTGTAATTGATAATAAAAAATCATCTAGTTTAACTCTATAAAAAAAAATAAACTACACGAATACATTGGGACGAACAATATTATTTGATAATTGATTTGAAACTACGTACGACATTGTCAATTAATTTACTCCGTATTATTTTGTGAAAGCTACTTTAATTCTTTCTCTTGTGATAAATTTAAGAGTATAATAATTAAAGTTGGAGTGAAAAAAATGACTTCCCTAGTGTTAGCCGTGTTGACTTTTGGAATGGAAAAACCAAGTGGGAGTTGAATTTGATGTCAGGAATGTTCGAAAATATTATTTGGAATTACTATTTTTGTGTTGGTTTGGAAAGTGAAAAATAAAATATTTTTTCACCTTTTATTTTAAAAAATTATTATTTAGTGTTTAAGTATGCAAATTTTCTTTTTTTATTTTTATATTAATCTTTAAATAAAATGAACAGAAAAAACTTAAAATTTGGTTCCATTTTGTGTAATGTGGCAAACATTTTGGGACGAAAAGAGTAAATTTTAGGGTCTCTTTGGTAATGATGTTTGAGATGGGCGTTAACTTTTTGGATAAAATTTTAACGGCGCAGGTTGAGTTTGAAAACACTAACGTTAAACGTTGTCCGTATACTATTTTCAAAGAGGTTGTTAACATTACTGCTAAACTACATATAGCTAACTCTATGTACATCCTGTAAAATAAAAACATACTCCGGGTAAATTTTAATTTGAATGAAGAATATTGCTAATTTGCTACTAGTAAAAAATGAAAACAGATTTTGTTCCTCCGCCATATCAAATGATACTCGGTATTCACTATTCATTTGTTTACTTTATATGTATATGGTTTTCAATTTTTTCTACCTCGTATTTTCAAAAGATTTTGACTTTTTGGGAAATGACAAATCGAGTATTTTTCAAAAAGATAAAAATCGAGAAGCAAAAATGAATCAAGAAAATAAAGAAAATAACATAAGATTTTTTGTGATTCGATTTCTTTAAACCACGGCTACAACAAGAAGAGTTCAATTTAATTTTGATGTCCGAAAAATGCCAAAATATAAACTTTTATTTATATGAATAGGGTTACAGACTAATGGATCGGGCCCAGAAACAAACCTTTACGAAGTCCAACACCATTCACCCAGTTATCTATCACCTAATTTATCCATCAGCGCATCTATTAATACACTCATTATTCATCCATCATACACGACGAAAAGAAGTGCAAATGAGTAAAATTAATAACAATTTTTAATTTAATAATATCATTTTATTATACTACCATAAAGAGTAGAACAACATCAGCAAAAACAAAAAAACTGTTAGATTATAAATAACTGTTCCTGGGCCACAACCACAAGCTTGAGCTTTTGGTTGAGTTGGTTCCTTGACATGGTATCAAAGCCTTGATGACCAAGAGGTCACGAGTTCGAAACTCACCGCCACCCACTTTAAAAAAACTAAGGTTTCACGTGCAAGGCTCAAAGATGTCACGCTTGCACGTGAGGGAGCGTGTTAGAGTATATAACAATCATTCCTGGGCCACAACCACAAGCTTGAGCTTTTGGTTGAGTTGGTTCCTTGACATGGTATCAGAGCCTCGTTGACTAAGAGGTCACGGGTTCGAAACTCAGCGCCACCCAGTTTAAAAAAATTATGGTTTCACGTGCAAGGCTCGAAAAAGACTACGCCTGCACGTGAGGGGGCGTGTTAGATTATAAATAACTGTTCCTGGGTCACAACCACAAGCTTGAGCTTTTGGTTGAGTTGGTTCCTTGACAAAAACAACAACATTTATTTCATCTGCAATAAAGGTAGTTGAAGTTTTTAGAAAATAATATACAAAATTAACAAACATAAGTTCAATTACATTTATAAAATTCTAATTAATTTCATCCTTTATTTGTAAAAGAATAATAAGGGGGTGGCATGTCACCTTTGAGCTCTAGTAAGTCAACTAGATGACTATGGACTGTATGGAGTATTAAAGTATTAAACTAATTTCTTAATTCTTGTGGGACATATGTGAAGCTTATTATTGAGTAAAATATAGTACTCCATATCTTTTTTATTATTTTCTTAACAAAAAAGAATGAGTCTCATCTCTGAGGGTTCCCTGAGACTCGGTCAGACGGTTACTGAGAAGAGATAAATTGGGCTTTGATCGCAGATTAGTGGCAAAGAGTGGAGCCTGCATCTAGTATTTGCAGAGGCCCTATTCTTAGTATAGTTGCCTCCCAACGTAGTTTCTAAGAATCGAACTTGAATCTTACTCACTTGGCACTCCTTGACTTTGCCAACGGCGCAACACCCACTGGCAATTTTCTTCTTTGCCTTTGGGTGATAAATGAGAAACTAGGGGTGGACATACACGGTCCTAGAACGATTTAGTATTTTTAAAGAACCCGCACCATATCTTAATTATTCAAACTGTTCGATACAGTTTCACTATTATGCCTAAACCCATTTGATACCATGTTGTTCGAAAATAGAATGATACTATGCCCTACTAATGACATATCATACCACAATACTTCGATGCTTTGAAACTATTTTTGTTCTTAATAAATATTCGACGTAATTAAAAAAAGTTGGTGCACTTTTTTTGTGCATTTTTACTCAATAAGTGTAATGTTGGTTATAATTTTTTTTTGACAAAACATAAATGTAGTTTGATATTTCAACAAATAAAGTTATAATTTGAGTTGTACTCCGGAATAATAAAGTAGTATAAAAACATTAGTATAAGTATTTTAAATTCACACCTAATAAACATGACTTAAGTCTACTAAAAGATAACGAATGAAAATGCATTATTAATATAATAATTTGGAAATTAAACTAAATGAAAGAGGGAATGTAAGCCATGACATCACCTCGTTCCAGATTATCTTCGTGACGTTGGCGTGACTGCATGAGACTGGCCGTTTGAAATAAACTACACCGTACTATTCAAACATACTTCGTTCCGTCCTATATCTTTCTTTTCGGTTCGCAAAACAAAGAAAAATCATAATTTATTTTAATCTATTTTATTTAAATATTGGTATAGAAATAAAAAATAAAATATACATATTTAAAAACTACACCGAAAGTTCAACAAAACAAGTGGTGACAAGAATATTTTATTTTATCATATAGGCCATGAAAAAACACAAATAAATATAAATTCTCGTGAAGTTGGAATAGTGCTTTGGGAAGAAAGTTTTAGGACGGAGGGAGTAAACGTTATATTTTGGCTTTTTTATTTTTTCTTCATCTTTTTGTTTCCTCTCTCACAAAATAAGAAAAAATATTTTTCTATCCTTATTTTTTTCTTAGCTTTTTCAAATTCTTTGAGCCAAATATGGTTTAAAGAAGAGGAAGAAAAACTAAAATATGAATAAATTATATGAATAAACTAAAATAAGAATTTCATGTTTTTATCCCAAAATAAGATTTACAATATTTTTAATTTCAAGATATAATACCAAAAAATACTATTGAATGAAAATATATAGTTCCATGTCGTTACATTACAAAATCTTATATTTGGAATAAAAACATATTACTATTATTATGAATATAAGAGCTAGAGGTGTACTCATTCCATTCTACTCTCTCCGTCTCACTGTCTTTGTCCACTTACCTTTTGGCACACCATCCAATGAATTTCTTTAATTCATTTTATCTTGTAATTTGTATATTAAAAAATTATAGAAATTATATATTAATAATCTATATGTTAAGACAAATCAAACAAGATCACACATGACTATATTAAGCCTTACACATTGAGAAAATTTGATGAGTCAAAGTGCTTAGATAAACAGCTCCAAAAGTCAAAAGTGGACAAAGAGAGTGGGACGGAGGTAGTATAAAATATATCTATAAAATTATTATTATATTAAAATATAAACCTAGATTAAATAAAAAAGTGAATTACAATTAAAGTTGTTCTATCACATTGCCTATTGATAGAATACATAAATATTATACCCGCATGTAAATATGAAAGATAATACATTAATTCTTTGTAAATAACTTACATAGACATTTCATTTTTGGAAATATCATGGTATGCGTGGAGAGGATGTGTTTATTAATTTCCTCTATGACTCTTATTATTTTACACTTCACTAATCAAATTTATAATTTTGATAGAAAAATTTATTTAAAATTTTAAAGGAAAAGTTTGAATTTTTAATACGAATTTTAGACAACTTTTTATACACTGAAATCTTACTCTTTATAATCTAAACTTTCATATTTATTACACTTATCATGGGAAAATGGTGCAAAAATTTATACAAACAGTTTTATTTTAAAAAATTTAATAAATTTTATATAATCTTTAATTAAAAAAGTAATTAATTAAATATAAGATATTAAAATATATTTTAAAATGATGAAGGACATATTAATATCATAATTAGAATATGAAAAGTATTATAAATATAAGTTTATGGTAATTAAAAGAAATAATCATGAACAATCTTTTAAATAAAAAATAAACTATTAAATGCCATGTGGACCAATAAAATGATGACACCATGTCATATAGATAAAAATTTTGTCATGTCATACGCCACGTGTCTCCACTACAACTAATGAACTCCCCTTTACACACACACATATAGGATTCTTAGTATATTTCATTTTTAATTGTTATAAAGAGTAATAATAGATACGGAATACTTAATACTATGTCTCTAAAAGTTTGTCACAGTTTAATTTTTTTGGACAAACTATAACACCTTATTGATCCTGAATTATAGAAAATGTGTCTTCACTTATAATATAAAATTAGTAAAATTAGATTTTTTTTAAAATCAATTTTTACCATATTTCATTATTTTTAATTATATTTAATTTGTGATTAAATGATGTCATAATTTGTTTAAAAAAGTTAATCTGTGATAAACTTTTAACAGGTAGGAAATACGATATTCAACAATTTCTTCTTAAACAAGTTAAGGGTACCCCAATTATAAGAGAAAGAAGTGGGCTATATATTGATAGTGCACCACTCACCCATATACAGAATATTATTGCTTTAAAGAGGAAAAAAAAGAAAAGGATTCAAACTCTGAAAAAATGGGTCAACTCCACGTTTTATTTGTCCCGGTGATGGCTCACGGCCACATGATTCCCACACTGGACATGGCCAAGCTCTTCGCTTCCCGTGGCGTCAAGTCAACCATAGTCACCACCCCACTGAACCGGACCGTTTTCGCCGGAGCCGTAGATAAACAGACCGGGTTGGGTCACCAGATGGAGATCCGTCTCCTCGATTTCCCCGGCGCCCGGGTCGGATTGCCGGAGGACTGCCAGCGGCTCGATCAGCTCGCCTCCGACGAAGAAATCCCCAGGTTCATGAAGGCCTGCTCCTTGCTCCAGGAGCCCTTCGAGCAGCTCCTGGAGGAGCTCCGCCCGCACTGCGTCGTCGCCGACATGTTCTTACCTTGGGCCACGGCCGCCGCCGCCAAGTTCGGCATCCCTAGACTCGTGTTCCACGGGACCAACTCCTTCGCCTTGTGCGCCACGCACAGCCTCAAAATCCACAAGCCGTACCTGAACGTCTCCTCCGATTCGGATCTGTTCGCGATTCCGGATCTCCCGCACCAGGTGAAGCTCACCCGATTGCAGGTTTCTCCGTTCTCACGCGCCGGCCAGGAAGAGGAATCCCCCATGTCGGAGTTCATGAGACAGGTTAGCATGTCGGAGGAGACCAGCTTCGGGGTCATCTTCAACAGCTTCGACGAGCTCGAACCGGAATATGCAGAGCACTACAAGAATGTTCTTGGCCGGAGGTCCTGGTTTGTGGGTCCGCTTTCCCTCTCTAACAGGTTAGAAATTAAAACCAAATTTGTTTTGGAATCCGATTATGAACCCAATAAATAAATGTGTGCAAACATTACAGGGACACAGAGGACAAGGCCCAGAGGGGGAAGAAATCCTCAATCGGCGAGAAAGAATGCCTGGAATGGCTTGATTCCAAGAAACCCCACTCGGTGGTTTACGTTTGTTTCGGAAGCGTTGCCAGCTTTGCGGATTCTCAGCTCCGGGAAATGGCCGCCGGGATCGAAGCTTCCGGACAGGAGTTCATCTGGGCGATAAGAACGCCAGCAGGGGAGAAGGAGGAATGGATGCCGGAAGGATTCGAGGAGAGAACGAGAGGAAAGGGGATGATCATAAGAGGGTGGGCCCCGCAAGTGCTGATTCTCGACCACGGATCAGTGGGCGCATTCGTGACGCACTGCGGGTGGAACTCAACGCTGGAAGGGGTGTGTGCGGGCGTGCCCATGGTCACCTGGCCAGTCTTCGCAGAGCAGTTCATCAACGAGAAGCTGGTGACGGACATTCTTCGGACAGGTGTAGGGGTGGGGTCCAAGGAGTGGAAAAGATCGGGAAGTGACGGGGTGAAGAGAGAAGCGGTCGTGGAGGCGATCAAGAAGGTGATGGTCGGGGAGGAGTCGGGGGAGATGAGGAGCAGAGCCAAGGCGCTGAAAGAGAAGGCGAGAGAGGCGATCGAGGAAGGCGGGTCTTCTCACTCGGGTTTGAGTGACTTGCTTGATGAAATGAGGACTTATCACACTGCTAAACTCTGAATGATTATCGCTTGGTGATCGTCCAACCGGTTCTGAAGGATTTTCATGATGAGATTCATCTTCTTCTTTCTTTTTTGATACATTCCCTGTTTTACTCTCTATACATGTTGTCATCAATCCCACATTGTTATTGTTACTCATTGTTATGTTGTCTGACACAATCTAGAAAGATGGCATTGGTGCTGCTCTAGTGCTAATTGTGTTGTTTATCATCAGTCAACCTGCTTTAATTTGTTTCATTGAACTTGATGAAAGTGTTTGCAAATCATGATTAAAATCACAAGTTCACAAGATTATTTCCCTTTGACTTTACTAGGCCTCCACAATCCAAGGGAACTTGAATTTTGTGATTGAATTAAAAAAAAAACTCCATAAACTTTCTAGGAAACATAATAGGCCATATAGCACCCATACCCCCCATGGTTTGGAAAAATATATACTCCCTCGGTCGCAGAATATATCTCATATTTCTATTACCGAGGTAAAATATTAAGTTTTTTCAATTCATTTTATTTACATATTGGTATATAAATAAAAAAATAAAATTTACATATCAAAAAAACTAAATGAAAAGTTCTTCGAAATAAGAGGTGTCAGCAATATTTTATTTTATCAAATAACCAATGAAAACGTAGAAATAAACAAAAGTTTCTGCGACTGCAGAAAAAACCAAATATGAAGAATGGGACATTGATGCCTATTTTCTAAACCATAGGGGCCATTGGTGTTCCTTTTTATTTTTCATTTATTCTTTCACCTTTTTTCTTTTATTTTTTTTTATAAACAAATGTTTTTTAAATTTCTTTTGAAAATTGTTTTAATAATGTTCTTAAAATTTAAAATAATTTTTGTTTAAAAAAACAAAAACTAACATATACTGCATCTGTAAGTCTCAAATTAACATTTTTGGTTTTTTATCTTCTGAAATAAAAAAACAAAAACTTTTTTTGAGAATTCTAAAACCGAGGAAAAATAAGAAATAAAATAAACAAAAAATAAAAAACAAATATCCTTTTTAAACATCATAATTCTAAGGACTTTTTTTTAGGTATTCTAAATATTTCTCTTTGTATAAGATTCTTTTTGCATGTTTGAATTTTTTTCATATCCTTTTTCCACATTTTTATTTTTTTTATTCTGGATTTTTTTAACTTACGAAAGAAATTATTCTAGAAAATAAATAGTAAAAATGTTTAATTTGAGATAAATGGAGTATATGTTATTATTTTTAGAATAAATTTCCAAAATGGTCCTTTCTAATAATGCGTTTTCTCAAATTAGGGTGCTTTCCGTTCGACTTATTTGATCTATTTTTTTGAAGATCTGATCTTATCTAATATGGCCTCATATGATTTGATTGCATTTATAATTAAAGATGTTTCTGATTTGATCTCGTAAGATCTGGCCTGATATGATCTACGTTTGTTTCTGATTGCATTTACGTTTGTTTCGGAAGCGTTGCGAGCTTTGCGGATTCTCAGCTCCGGGAAATGGCCGCCGGAATCGAAGCTTCGGGGCAGGAGTTCATCTGGGCGATAAGAACGCCAGCAGGGGAGGAGGAATGGATGCCGGAAGGATTCGAGGAGAGGACGAGAGGAAAGGGGATGATCATAAGAGGGTGGGCCCTGCAAGTGCTAATTCTCGACCACGAATCGGTGGGTGCATTCGTGACACACTGCGGGTGGAACTCCATGCTGAAAGGGGTGTCTGTGGGGGTGCCCATGGTCACCTAGCCGGTCTCCGCGGAGCAATTCATCAATGAGAATTGGTGACGTACATTCTTCAAACTAGTGTGGGGTGGGGTCCAAGGAGCGGAAGAGATCAGGAAGTGACAGGGTGAAGAGAAAAGCGGTTGCGAAGGCGATCAAGAAGGTGATGGTTGGGGAGGAGTCAGAGGAGATGAGGAGCCGAGCCAAGGCGTTGAAAGAGAAGGCATTGGAAGGTTGGTCTTCTCACTCCGGTTTGAGTGATTTGCTTGATGAATTGAGGACTTACCATAATGTTAAACTCTTCTATTCTAGAGGCATACTAAATTAAAGACAAATTCTTTCGTGGATCTAAGATTAATGTTTATTAAATGAATTTTAGTGTATTTGTAATATAAAAGTGAGCGATTTCAAGAAAAAATGCTCACATGTAAACCCATTAAAATGCGAAAAAGGTGAATAATGTTGTGATTTACTTAAATTCGTGTTAAGTACTCTAAATCATGATTTGCAAACACTTTATTCACGTGTAATGAAACAAAACAGGTTGATAGAAGATAAACAACATAATTAGCAACACAATTAGCCTAGAGGAGCACTAATGCCATCTTTCTAGATTGTGTCACACAACATAATAATGAGTAACAATAATTAATAACGTGGGACTGATGATAACATGTATAGAGAGTAAAACATGGAATGCATCAAAATAAAAATGGAAATGAATCTCATCTTGAGAATCTTTCAGAATCGGTCGAACGGTCACCCGACATCGATTTTATTAGGGTTTAGCATTATGGTAAGTCCTCAATTCATCAAGCAAATCACTCAAACCCGAGTGAGAAGACCCACCCTCCTCGACTGCCTCTCTCGCCTTCCCTTTCAGCGCCTTGGCTCTGTTCCTCATCTCCTCCGCCTCCTCCCCAACCATCACCTCCTTGATTGTCTCGGAAACCGCTTCTCTCTTTACCCCATCACTTCCCAATCTTTTCCACTTCTTGGACCCCACCCCTACACCCCTCCGGAGAATGTCCGTCACCAGCTTCTCGTTGATGAACTGCTCTGCGAAGACCGGCCATGTGACCATGGGCACGCCCACACACACCGCTTCCAGCGTGGAGTTCCACCCGCAGTGTGTCACGAATGCGCCCACCGATCCGTGGTCGAGAATCAGCACTTGCGGGGCCCACCCTCTTATGATCATCCCCTTTCCTCTCGTCCTCTCCTCGAATCCTTCCGGCATCCATTCCTCCTTCTCCCATGTTGGCGTTCTTATCGCCCAGATGAACTCCTGCCCCGAAGCTTCGATTCCGGTGGCCATTTCCCGGAGCTGAGAATCCGCAAAGCTCGCAACGCTTCCGAAACAAACGTACACCACCGAGTGGGGTTTCTTGGAATCAAGCCATTCCAGACATTCTTTCTCGCTGATTGAGGATTTCTCCCTCCTCTGGGCCTTGTCCTCTGTGTCCCTGTAGTGTTTACACACCTACATTTATTTATTTATGAAATATTTGTACTAAATAGCACTAAATTTAAGTCATTTCCCTAAATAGAACCTAAATTATTTTATTTTCTAAGTAGCATTTAATAATGTCCAGTAATGACGAATATTTAATTGAATGATATGACTAAAAGTACTACAAAATTTGTTTTAATTTCTAACCTGTTAGAGAGGGATACCGGCCCCACAAACCAGGACCTCCGACCAAGAACATTCCTGTAATGCTCTGCATATTCCAGTTCGAGCTCGTAGAAGCTGTTGAAGATGACCCCGAAGCTGGTTTCCTCCGACATGCTAATCTGTTTCATGATACCCGACATGGGGGATTCCTCTCCCGGGACGCCGCGGGAGAAGGGAGAAACCTGCAATCTGGTGAGCTTCACCTGCAGGGGCGGACCCACGTTGAGTCATACGGGGTCAAGCGACCCCACGAAAATTTTAAATTTTTTTACCTATATTTATATAAATTTTTAGGTGTATTTGTATAGTTAGTATATATTTCATAAAACGCTAAATGAAAGAACGGGGATATGTTGAAGGAGTGGAAAGCTCTGCGTTTGAGCAATGTTGGCGATAGGCGATTTATCCCAAACTCAAACCCAATCTTCATTTTTGTCCCTTTGCTGTTTTTTTTGACATAATTTGTTGCTTTAATTTTCTATGTTTTTTAAATAATTTAATCTAAACTAAATATTTCTTTTTATATTTGTGAATTGTGAATATTATAATTTATTCTTATGAATTTGTTATTGTGAATAGCGAATTGAATTTGCTATTTTATTTTGTAAGATTGTGATTTGTAAATATGTTAAAATAATTAGACTATTTTTTAAATTTATAATGTTTTTAATTTTTTAAATTTCAATATAGAATGCAAAGATGTATTTAAAAGGCACCAATTATTTAACTTTTTAATGCTTTATCCGTTTCATTTAAAAATCTATAGTAAAGTTTATGTTTATGGAGTGTTTCAATTTTCTTAAGTACTTTAAAAATCGTGTACCTCCTTTCGTATTAAACTATTAATCAACATAACTATTTTTTATTTGTCTATTCTCTTCTATATCAAACAAACTTATAAACTTTACACTTTACTTATTTATATAAAAAAATATGTAGTTGATATTATTCCTATTTTCTTAAAATAAATTCTTATTATATATCATTCACTTTTTAATGATTCATCCATCTCATTTAAAATTTTATAGTAAATTTTGAATGTCAATTTTAAAATTTTTTATTACATGTTAATACCATAAAGTTATTTTTAAGAATATTTTCAAATATGAATCTTATTTTACCTACGACCCAACAAATGATATACTGTCTCAAATTTTTAAGTATATGATCGACCCCATGGTAAAAAATCCTAGGTCCGCCCCTGTTCACCTGGTGCGGGAGATCCGGAATCGCGAACAGATCCGAATCGGGGGAGACGCTCAGGAAGAGCTTGGCCATGTCCAGTGTGGGAATCATGTGGCCTTAAGCCATCACCGGGATAAAGAAGACGTGGAGTTGACCCATTTTTTCTCTCTCTTCAAAGAAATATTATGTGTATGGAGGTATGGAATGAGTTGTGCACTGTCAGTATAAATATATAATGAGTAAATTACAAGAATAGGACCAAAACATGGTGGTTTTCCCAAAATAGGACTAGTCCTATTGCCTCACACGTTTGAGCGCCAAATAGCTTCCATGCCCCCGGTGATTTGGAAAATTGGCACTAATACCCCTTCTATTTTCAAAACTTATTTTTAAAATCCTCGTGGTTTCAAAACGTTGCACCCACACCCTCTCCGATCATTTTCTGGCCATTTTCCGGCGAAGGTGGGGCATTGGCGCATAATTTCTAAACCACGGGGGGCATTCATGCTCATTTCTTATTTTCGTTTATTATTTTTCCTTTTTTTAAAATATCTTCTATCTCTTTTTCCTTTTCCTAGATTTTTTTAAAAATATATTTTTAATTTTTTATAATGTTTCAAAAATTTTAAAATTTGTGTTTAAAATAAAAATAAAAAAATTAACATACATTAAATCTATATCAAATTAAACATTTTCAACTTTTGTTACTTAGAATAATTTTTTGAAAAGTTCAAAAAAAACCCAGAATAAAAAAATAAAATATGGAAAAACGAAATAAAAAAAATTAAAATATGCAAAAGAAGTCTTATACAAAAAAATTAGACACGCCTAAAAAAGTCCTTAGAATTAAAATGTCCAAAAAGGATATTCATTTTTATTTTTGTATTATTTTATTTCTTATTTTATTCCTCATTTCTTGAAGTCTCAAAAAAAAAATTTACTTTTTTTCAGAAAAAACAAAAATTGTTAATTTGAGACGTACATATGCATTATATCTTAATTTTTTCTAACAAAAGTAACTTTAAATTTTAAGAAACATTATAAAAAAATCTTTATTAATAAATGAAATAAAAAAGGAAAAAATGGAAAAAACAAAAAATATGCAAGAAATAAAAACCATTACTGATACCCCCTATGGTTTAAAAAACATGCACCAATACTCCCCTCCTCGCCGGAAAAATGGCCGGAAAATGATCAGAGGGGGCACGGGTGCAGCATTTTGAAATCATAGGAACTTTAGATATGGGTTTTGAAAACAGAGGGGGTATTGGTGCTTGTTTTGCAAACCACGAGGAATACCGGCGCTATTTGGCCCACGTTTGAGCATTTAAAATGACAAAAAGCCCCTCCAATTTCTAGGCATTACCTCTGGTGGGGAAAACAAAAAAATGCAGCGAAAATTACGGAGAAGACCAATAGATCCAAAAGGCAAGAATTCAATCATTTAGATTTCAAACGGCAGAGGTCATTAGAAAGCAAATGATTAGGGTTCTAAATATTTGATTTTTTTCCTGCGTCTTGTGCATACCTGTCCCCAAATTCAGTGTGTGGAGTCATTCAATTTTAATGGCATCGAGAATGGAAGACGGTGAAGATCGTGAGTTTGTGGAACAAACCCAAATAGTCCAAAAATATGCTAGGGAACCTTTACACTAGTTCAAGGAATTTGGAGAAAAAGAAAAGAAAATGATTTTCTCTAATTTTTACTCACCAAAATGGGAGGAATTTGGAAGGACACTGTAAAGGCCAATGGAGACATTGGTGGTTGCGATTATGCCGCTCAGATGGACATTTACATTGAAAACAAGGACATTGTGGTGGTATGCAGATGAATATAACATATAAGGACCGTATAGCAATCAAGAAAGGAGGACATTAATCTATAAATTAAATGTCAATGACGCTGTAAAGGCCAATGGAGACATTGGAGGATGCGATTATACCCACGCGGATGGACATTAACATTGAAGACAAGGACATTGTGGTGGTATGCAGATGAATCTAACATATAAGGACCGTATAGCAATCAAGAAAGGAGGACATTAATCTATAAATTAACTGTCAATGACGCTGTAAAGGCCAATGGAGACATTGGAGGATGCGATTATACCCACGCGGATGGACATTAACATTGAAGACAAGGACATTGTGGTGGTATGCAGATGAATCTAACATATAAGGACCATATAACAATCAAGAAAGGAGGACATTAATCTATAAATAAAATGTGAAAGATGCTGTAAATGCCAATGGAGACATTAGTGGATGTGTTTATACCCGCATAGATGGACATTAACATTGAAGACAAGGACATTATGGTGCTATGCAGATGAATATAATCTAACATACAAGCTAAGGACTATATAACAATCAAGAGAGGAGGACATTAATCTATAAATATAATGTGAATGACGCTGTAAAGGCCAATGGAGAAATTTAAAATAACATAAACATAATGACGATGCACACAATATGTAAGATAAAGACATTATGCTAAGAATATAGAAGTTATTATAGAAATATATCAAGAATATATGTATGCCTTATTTGGGAATATTGTAAGTACATGTTCTATCTCTAAAATTAACTACAAAAGATCTCCCATCATCGTCAATAACTTGAAATTTAAAGAAACAAGTTAGTGTAACTATTATGATTAAAATAAGGACAAATTGTAATACTCACACTATATGTGGTGTATAATGTCTACAATAGTTGATGGAAGGACAATGAAATAAGAAATGTTACTCTCTCTGTTCTAAAATTGACTTCCCAATTTGACTTTCTTAGCCATTTTTTTTGAATTTCGATCGTATATATTGAAAAAATTATATTGATTTCTCATATAAATTTAAAATTAATAGATTCATTTTGAAACATAGTTTTAAATTTTTTTATTTTTTAATATATATTTATATATAAATAAAAATATTAACGATTAATGTGTTGCATTAAAGACTATGAAAAGTCAAATGAGAAATTAATTTTAAGACGAATAAAGTATTTAAGTTAAAATATAAAGGAGACCAACAAGAACTTACTAGAAGTTAATTATATCAAATTATTTATACTCTGTATGTACTAAGTTACTGTGGTCACATTTTATTTTTAGAACTTTCGATTTCTTTTAGATGTATAATTTTATTTTTTAAAATTTTTCTTCATTTTTCATACAAATTAAATTAAAGATAAAAGTACACCATAATTGAAATTGGCATATTAAAGTAAAAACAAAACTTCTAAATAAAAAGGATAAAAACAGGAGAAGATGGGTGGATGAACTTGGAAAGAACGAGAGTTCTAATTCAAGGGTAAAAATGGAACAGCCTCCGGAAAAAAGTCCTATTAATTGGAAAAAACTTAGTTGCTCCTATTTAGAGAAAACAAATCACTTTAAGTCCTAAATACAACAAATTTTACATATATAATTATATATAGCCCACTTCTTTCTCTTAAAATGGGGCTACACTTAACTGGTTTAAGAAGTAATTCATCGTACCATCCGTTTTTAAAACATTGTCACAGTTTAATTTTTTTTGGTCAAATTATTACTCTTTTTACCACAAAAAGAATATAGTTTAAAATAATTAAATATTATGAAAAATTGATATTTCTAAACCATATTTTAAAATAAATTGAATTTTACTAATTTTACATTATAACTAAAGATTTTTTCTCATAATTTGAGGTAAAACAAGTGCCACAATTTACCAAAAAATTCAAATAATCTCTTTGGGATATAGGGAGTATTAAGTATCTGTTATTACTCTTTATTATAATTAAAAATGAAATATACTAAGAAAAATATTACTCCCTCCGTCCCCCAGTTTTTGTCCACTTTTGACTTTTGGAACTGCTCATCTAAGCACTTTGACTCATCAAATTCTTTCAATGTGTAAGCCTAAATATAGTCATGTGTGATCTTGTTTGATTTGTCTTAACATATAGATTATCAATATATAATTTCTATAATTTTTTAATATACAAATTACAAGATAAAATGGATTAAAGAAGTGCATTGGATGGTGTGTAAAAATGAAAGTGGACAAATACTCTAGACGGAGGGAGTAATAAACAATCAATATAGAATGGAACTCTTTTTTTTAAACATGGAAAAAAATGGAACTCTTTTTTTTTTTAAAGGAGGGAGTAGATCATTATTGTTTTTAACGAAGAGTCAGTCATTATTTGTGAAAATGCAATTTGCAGTGTATAGGATTTAAGCATAAATCATTTCCCAATTTAGGACTTAAACTTTTTTATTTTCTGAATAGGACTTAATAATGATTAGTAAGAAAAATAATGTCCAAGTGGTGTGCTAGACATTTAATAGAATAATGACTAATAAATTAATGACCAAAAGTCCTACATTAGAAAATAAAAATATATGATCCTATATTGAGAAAGTCATTATATTTTAATCCTATTTAGGTAAATTACTCTTGGTGAAACTATCAAACTGTGATATCAAACTCACATGTTTCTAACATTTTTGCTAAAATACTCCGTAAACGCAACTGATGACGTTTTCCTAAAGAACAATATACTTAAATAAATAAATACTTCCTTCGTCCCCAAATATTTGTCACACTTCTATTATCGATGTAAAATATCACATTTTTTCAATTAATTTTATTTACATATTGATATAGAGATAAAAAATAAAATTTACATATCAAAAAACTACATGAAAAGTTCTTCAAAATAAGAGGTGTCAAAAATATTTTATTTTATCAAATAACTAATGAAAACGTAGAAATAAACAAAAGTTCTCGCAACTGCTGAAAAAAGCAAGTGTGACAAATATTTTGGGATGAGGAGTAAAATAGAATTGACAGATTGGAGGGTAATTTGTTTATGGGGAAAGGTCAAGCTTTTTTTCTCAAACTCTTTTTTTCAAAAAGACAACACATGGGAGGGGGAAAAATGAACCATAATGGAGTAATTGTTACGGAGTACTTTCCAAATCAGATTAAGCCATCCTTTCCTTTATATATAATATTTGAGAGTTGAACTCTCAGAATTGCGACATTTGGCGTGCTGACTGGAACTTTTTTTGACACTTCATCAGCCACGTCATCAAAATCGACTTCCTCAATATTTCAAACGGGTTGGGCTTCTAGAATTGTGACATGTGGCGTGCTTATTAGACAACCTTTTTAACATATCAGCATGTCATGTTAGCAAGTAATGTTTAAAAAATAGTTAACA